GGGGCCTCTGGATCCAGTCTCATTTGCAGCTACCCAAGTCCACAAACTCAGGATTATTTTCTGAACAGTGCTAGGGACTATGTTTCCGTCTTTGTCGGGTGGTGTTTCGAGGTCTAAATCCACGTACGGACATCGGCCCACCCCAGCAAGGAGGGGGGCGGGGCGTAGAAAGGAGCCAGTGTTTCCTCTTTTCTGACCACAAGGGTCGAAAAACAAAATGCAGGCCTTCTTGAGGAATTGGCCTGAGAGCGTCCTCCTTTATCAATGTGTACATTTTTCATCGAGCATTCCGCCGCCTACCGCAGCGCATTGTCCGCAACGCAGCGACAGTCAACTTTACCAACTCCAAATAGCTCTCCAGACACCTCCTTGCAGCGCTCCGCCTAGCTGCATCAGCGCTCCGCGTGTGTGTGTGGGAGCTTTTATCCGGCAGAGAGTGCGGGAAATTCAGAAAAAAAGGACCCCGAGAAGCCTCAAGGCGATCGGGGTTGCCGCGCGGTGTGGTCGTTCAAACGCTCATCCCCTCTTCGTAAAGTTTGCCGAAGCCAATTAGGGCTGCACACACCAACCCCCAGATGATTTCGGTTGTCACTTTTTGCGTAGCTGTGAAACTCGTTCCGGAAGAATGATGGGAAACCCAAAAACGCTCTCGAGGGAGGCAGTAGCTTTCGATACGTTCGTCTTTTTTCCGGTACCAAGACCGGTTCAGCAAAAATCACACTCCGCTCAGAAGAGCGAACGCAAACAACACACTCCGCTCAGAAAGCGTCAGTGCTGAAAATAAGAGGATTTTTCGCTTTGGTATCTTGTTGACACCAATACTTCGCCAGTGTCGTCAACTTAACCAACTTGGAAACTTAAATGTTTACATATTGCATAATGAAATAGGACCTACTCAACCCACCACAAAATCTGTGAAGCATTAAAAAAATGCGACGAACAATGGATGCAAAGGTGCCGCAAAATAAGACATCTTCTCTTTTATATGCTCACAAAGTGCTGCATCGACCGTGAGCGCATCATCACTCCGGTCTGAAAGCATCAGAGGCGATCGACTGTGAGCGCATTATCACTCCGGTCTGAAAGCATCAGCGGCGATCGACCGTGAGCGCATTATCACTCCGGTCTCAAACCATCAGAGGCGATCGACCGTGAGCGCAGTATCACTCCGGTCTGAAAGCATCAGCGGCGATCGACCGTAAGCGCATTATCACTCCGGTCTGAAAGCATCAGCGGCGATCGACCGTGAGCGCATTATCACTCCGGTCTGAAAGCATCAGCGGCGATCGACCGTGAGCGCATTATCACTCCGGTCTGAAAGCATCAGCGGCGATCGACCGTGAGCGCATTATCACTCCGGTCTGAAAGCATCAGCGGCGATCGACCGTGAGCGCATTATCACTCCGGTCTGAAAGCATCAGCGGCGATCGACCGTGAGCGCATTATCACTCCGGTCTGAAAGCATCAGCGGCGATCGACCGTGAGCGCATTATCACTCCGGTCTGAAAGCATCAGCGGCGATCGACCGTGAGCGCATTATCACTCCGGTCTGAAAGCATCAGAGGCGATCGACCGTGAGCGCATTATCACTCCGGTCTGAAAGCATCAGAAGCGATCGACCGTGAGCGCATTATCTGCGTCCGCTCAGGGGGGTGAAAAATAACCACATGCAGCCCAGCATAAACAGATGGGTTGCCTGCTGTGTTGCTACGCACTGCTGTGCCTGCTGTGTGTGATGAATGTGTAGGCCGTTTTCCGGGGACGCGCCCCCCGCCGCCCAGGGCACAAAGAAGCGAGATAGATTTATGTCCGAAGGTGTTCCACGCCCCCCCCGGTTTGAAGACTTTGTGAAGGAGACGGTATACAGGTACTCCATGCCCCAGCAGCAGTTTGATTCAGTCGAGAGAGGCAGCGTGAATTCGAGCACGAGAGAGAGAGACAGAGAGAGATACGTGCAGCAACTACTGTGATGACGATGCCGAATGTAATGCGTGGGCCTATGATGTGTGGCTGCGGTGCTGTTGATACACGCGCTTGGAGAAGAGGATAGATCCACGCTGCTCTGCGATTCCTAACCAAAGCACAGACAGGTAGGTGCTACGAACTGGTTGCTTCAATTAATAACTGCTGCTGCTGTGTGGATGCGCACTCCTTGATTCCCTCGCCAACGCTGCCCCCATCGGGCAATAGGCTCTAAAAATCGACCCCGACGCCTCGTATAATGTGTTCGTTTAGCCGCCCTCCGCCGCTGCGTGTGTGCGTCTCAATACATCAGTACCTCCCTCAGAGCGAAAAAAACACACGCCGCTCGAACTGAACTTGCACACATTTTAGATTCATCTACGCTACCTGCTACATCGCTCTTACCTGGCACACGCCCCAAATACGTTTCCCCCTGTGTCGCTTCCGCCCAACACACGCCCTGCGCACGTCTTCCCGTTGTGTGGCTCTTGATTGACTCACGCCCTGTGGGTGGAAAGGGTGGGTGAAATTTGCGTGACAACCACCACCCGCTTGAACTTGCACGCATTTGAGATCGACTTACGTGGTGATGTGCACAGATGCACACCTACGCTACCTGCTGCGTCGCTCTTACCCAACATACTCACCCACGTACACGTTTCCTGTTGTGTCGATTTCGCCCAACACACGCCCTGCACACGTTCCTCGCCGTGTCGCTCCTGCGTGACACACGCTCTCTACTACGGGGAATGGAGCTGGTGGAACGCGGAGCTGTGGAAATGCGTGACGAACGAGGGGCTACGTGCATGAATCGTTATCGCATGTACCCGGGGAATTATGAGTTTCCGCGGAGCATTCCTCACCTCTGCTCTGCTACCCCGCTGCCTGCTGTACCAGCTCTCTGCTGCGGTGCTTTCCGCAGAGCATACATCACTTCTGTTGCCGGCGCTGCTTTGATCGGCTGCGCTTCTGCGACATGGAGCGTAAACAGCGGGTTCCCAAACCAGATGGTCCTCAGGTGTGGCTGTCGATACTATCATACACGATTGCTTGCAGGACACGCAGCAGTACCACGGCTGATCTGGATCAAGGAGGGTACAGAGAGACAGCAGCCAAACTACAGCAGGCTAGATAGGTTCCTCGCGCGTGCAAGACTAGGTTCCTAACCAATCAACCGCGACCAACACACAGCCCAGAGGCCGCGAAACTGGGTGTGCACGCGGTTGCGCAGCGTTTGAAAAAATGCCCACTGCCCACTCTCGTCAACTGTTTTTTGTGTGGATTTCTAAATTTCCCCCATCATGTAAGCGCCAGGATCAAAGGCGGAAGAGGTTACAAGCGCCCGAGGCCGGTGAGTTTTGTACACAGACACATGTCACGGCAGGCGTGTGTGCCATACACGTGCGTGAACGTATGCTGGCTCTTCAATTTTTCATTTTTCCATCGCAGAGAAAAAAGAGACAGAAGCAGCAAGTGCAGAAAGAGACAGCAGCAGCGAAAAGGATCAAGCATTCGTGTACGACTACTGCTGTACAAAATCAGATTTTATTACATACGAAACTATTTAATTTCAGCTACGTTGCTCCTGCCGGCCGCCGCTGTGACGGCTCGTGCCACACTGCTACCGCTTCCGCTGCCTTTCAGCTACGTTGCTGCTGCCGCCCGCCGCTGTTACGGCTCGTGCCACAGCTGCTACCGCTTCCGCTGCCGCTGCTGCTCCCTCTGCCGAGATGGAGCGAGAACAGTGGATTACCAAACCAGGTTGTCCTAAGGTGTGGCGATGTCGATACCATATGATTGTTTGCAGGATCAACGAGGTACACGGAGAGACAGCAGCCTAACTATATTAAATAATAAGTACAGCAGGCTAGATAGGTTCCTCGCGCGTGCAAGGCTAGGTTCCTAACCCCACATCTACCCTACTCCCATCAAAACAATCAATCGCGGCCAACACACAGCCCAGCGGTCGCGAAACTGGGCGTGCACGCGGTTGCGCAGCGTTTCGGAATGCCCACTTCCCACTCTCGTCACCTGTTGGTTGTGCGTATTTCTTTGAAACAGCGACAAGGCACCCACAGGAAATGGTATAAGCGCCAGGGCCAAAGGCTGGAGAAGCGGCAAGCGGCCGAGGCCGGTGAGTTTTGTACACAGACACATGTCACGGCAGGCGTGTGTGCCATACACGTGCGTGAACGTATGCTGGCTCTTCAATTTTTCATTTTTCCATCGCAGAGAAAAAAGAGACAGAAGCAGCAAGTCCAGAAAGAGACAGTAGCGTAACAGCTTTTTTCGCCTGGTAATATATACTCCGAGTATAACAACTCGCACTGGTGTACAAGCAGATTCCACTTCTCCCAAACTTAAGTACAATACATAAGAAACTCATTTCAGCTAGATACATTGCTGCTGCCTCCCGCCGCTGGTACCGCTCGTGTCGCAGCTGCTACAGTCGCCCCTGCTACTACCGCTGCTGCTGCTACCCCTGCTACCGCGGCTTCAACTGCTGCTACGCGGTCGATGCTTCACCCGCTGCTACTGCTGCTGCTACTCCTGCCGCTACCGCTACCGCTGCCGCTTCCGCTGCTGCTGCTGACGTGGCTCCCGCGGCTGTCGCCGCTACTGCTACTGCTCCTACCGCGGCCTCTGCTGCTGCCAATGCTGCTACCCCTGCTGCTGCTACTGCTGCTACCGCGGTTGATGCTGATGCTGCTACCCCTGCTGCTACCACCGCTACCCCTGCTGCTGCTACTGCTGCTACCGCGGTTGATGCTACACCCCCTGTTGCTACTGCTGCTACCACCGCTACCCCTGCTTCTACTGCTACCGCTACCGCTACCGCTACCGCTACTGCTACTGCTGCTGCCACCACTTCCGCGTCATCCGCAGTCTCGAGCCAGCCCCCAGTCTCCATACCCGATTATGTCACCGACACTCCCTCCGGTTCAGCAGCCACGGTGACCGATGGTACGAGAAGGGACTTGGCGGCTCGATTCGAGTCGTTCATATCCCACCTTGACGAGGGGACACGCGAAGTACTGATGGGTTTACTTGAGACAAATAGCGTTCTGGACGGCATCGAGTCGTTCGGAGAATACGGCAAGGACGAGGGCCTGAACAACGGACTGTTTTCCTGTCTCCTTCGCAAGGACACTGCCCCCAGGGAGGATAGATCTAGACGACCCTGTCCTTTCTGGAGCAACGGTCCCGAGAGGAAAGGTCTTTCAGAGAATGTTTTCATCGCATGTACCAAGGCGAAGATCCCCCTCGTTTTGGAGGGCGACGCACCTCCAAAATCGCCAATGGGCGAGATGATGCAATACGCCGCCGATCAACGCGTGGCCCGCCTTGGCTACATCGGCAAGACGTCTGGCCGGGGGCCTCTCGCACTGACGCCGGACTTGACGGATGCCTGGCGCACTGGTGCTGTGACGGATCAGCAACTGCGAGACACGCTCAACGGAGGAACGTTCACCATCGATAACACAGAGGTGCGTTTCACCTACACAGTTCTAGCTGTCGTCTTCACATAAAAGAAAAGGTAGAAAGTACAATATCCGTACTGGTCAAACTGACGCCGACGCCTTCCGTGGTCGCCTGTTGTGCGGCAGGAGAATAAGAGCAGGGACAGGACGTGCTACGCCACGATGGAAAACGACACCGTGACTGCGATGATTCGAGAAGGGACGCGGATGGGAGAGCTTTGTTTTCCACGGAGGGGCAACCACCAACGATGTGGGAGATTGACTGGAAATTCGGCTGACGGCGTTGCGTGGTCGGGTAGCGAGTGCATGCTATTTGCCAAAGACGGTGGAATGACCAACCCACACGTGGACGTGCAATCTGTCCCGGGAGGAACGGGGACAATAATCCACATGCCCGCAGCGGGAGTCATTCGCAGAGTCAACCATGCTGACGCACAGGGGCCGGCTAAGCAGGCCATCGTAGTGCATGCTGACGATATGTCGAGGGTGATCGAAACTCTGCAAATAAATACCGGCAAGGAGTCCGCCAGTCAGTACGGCGGTCCGCCGCGAACGCTTACGGAGTTCGCGAGAGTGTTGAGAAACGAGGGAATTCGGTTTGTTGTGATCAACTTTCCTGTGCGCTGCTCGTACGCCCTTCCCGCGAGGTGTGCACACGCGTTTGTCACGATAGGGTTGGTTGAGAGCTCGGCTTGGCACCCTGTTTACAAGCAGGATATGAAGTGTTCCGTGTGATGTTCAGGGAGAGTATGGTCATTTGTTTGATTGACGAGAGATGCAGTAACTCAAAAAAAAATATTAAACAATACACAAATGAATAACGATATTGATTACTGCGCATATGGTTGCCCGGCGGGAAAACAGTGCCCGCCAGCCGCATCCGACAGTTGCGCCATAGGTACCCCAAGGTTACAGAATGAGGGAACACCCTTGTGCTGCGAGGTCGACGATGACGCAGTCTATCTCCGCACCATCCGAGCAATACACCAGGCCCCGAGCTACAACAATGACCCCGATGGGGTGGCATTCAAACAGAGACTCGGGGCCATGCTTGCCTCCTTGCGTATCCCGAACCAAGACGGCGGTAGTCTGTTCGATGGTGTAATGACTTTGGATCTCGTTGTCAATGGAAACGTCCCCGCTTGCACGTTACAACGTACAACTGATTTGATGCGTTTGGTGGTAAGGGTGCGCCGAGTTTCTCTGGTCGATTTATGCGCGGAAATCTTTGTGGGTTTACCCCCTGAACTGCGGAACAATGACAAAATATTCTACAGCGTCCACGCCGCGGAATACCATAGAGATCGGGCGTTGCCTAGCCTGAGCCATGGAAATTACACTTTTTGGTACGACACCCCCGTTTCGGCCGCCCAGTTTTTCTCGCTTGTTTTACTTACCCTCCAAAGACAACCCAATTTGGCACAGAGACGGTCACAGATCTCGCTTGAGTGCACCTGGAACAACGACGGATCGAGAATACGTAGACGACAGATGGATCTCCTTCTCCGTCTTGTGAGAACGTCTTCTTTCTTGGGGAAGATCATTGCCTCAAAATCGATTGCTGCTGGCCCGTTGTTTGAAGCGGGCATACCCCTTCAAACGACGACGGTGGCGGAAGGCAGAACGATTACGTGCGGCGCCGATACTCTGACGATTGAAATCGTGTGACGAAGGGTTACATTTTCGGCAAATATTGTCAGTCTATTTACAATAAACAATGATCACCAAAAACGTATGGTCTCAGGTCGGGAGAAACCCCGCGAATGCCCTTTTACCCCCACTGCATAATCTGGGCGTGATCATCCTGCGGGAAGAGTTGACGGAAGCCGAAAGCGATTTGCACGCCGCGCGCGTTGCACTGAAAACACTTGAAGAAGCCGGTGCCAGTGGTGACACCAGCGACCTCTATACAGCGATGTGGAAGCTACAAAAAAGAGAGCAAGCGTACTTTGCGAGACGCTACTTGCAAACAAACAAAGCCGTGCTTAGGGGCTGGCACAACCAAGTTTCCAAATACCAATCCTCGGGGGAAAAAGTGGGGCATGGAGTTCAGGGAGTTGTCTATGGCGTAATCAACCACCCGGACAAAGTTGTCAAAAGGTTTCCTACGTTTTCCCAGATGGGACACACATCTATCACCACAAGGCAATTCATCTACGATAAGACCGCCTCCGACAACGGGTTCGGTCCCAAAATATACGAGATTTCTTCCAATGATCGAGTCGTTGACCTGTCGGACAAAGGCACAGTACCCAAATTCCATCGGGGAAGAATCTTTTCGGTAGTCATGGAAAGATTAGCAGGTATAGAGATGGATAAACAGTATGTTGGAATTGTTCATTTGTGGAAGAAAATGAGACAACATGGACTCTTCAGTGGAGACGGATTCTATGGATACTCGCTGCAACACAAGGCAATCGTCCATGCAGATTTTGGTGCAGTTTGGGAAACAAAAAACGATGAAGAGTTCAAAGATGCAGTGTATCAACACTTGGAAGAACGCTACGACAGCGGGGGCCTTGAGCCGGGTATTGCGCGAAGATACGCAGACGAGTTCCCGGAAGACCCGTTCACACAAGACATCTTGGTATCAGTGTTGGCCAATTTAGGCATCTAATCTGAGCACATCTCCGTCACACACGATTCCTCCCTTGCACGAGCATCTCTTGTGCTTGTAAGCTTTGTATCAAGCATTTCCAAGCTCTTCTCTGCAAAGATACGATTCGAGAGCCACGCAGATTTTCGATGTCGCTGCCGAAGGTCACCGGACGAAATGTAGTTTTGCTTTTTTTAAATATTGACGTGTGTTAAGATACCACGAAATGGATACTCTGACAACAAGACTCATGTCCCGCAGCGGTCTGAGCACCGCCGGCCGTCTTCCCGCGCACAGCACACCCATGGTCAAGGCCGGCATCGGGCTCAATCCGTCCAAACCACTGCTTCCCCCGTGCACAACTTGCGCATGATTTATCTTAAGGAGCCGTTCGGGGATGCCGAAATACATTTGCACGATGCGCGCGTTGCGCTGGAAAGTGTCCAAAATGGTGGTCCAACGGCACCCTTGTACGCAGCAATGGCTAACCTGGAGGTGGCCGAGCGAGACTACTTCGCCAGACGGTACTTCGGTGGAGACAAAGCTATACTGAAAGGCTGGAGTGCTGCAAAATTCAAACATAAAATTCAAGAATTTAAAAGTACCGCTACAGCTATAATAGAAAGAATCACGTAAACCTTAACAGTACACAGTACGACTACCGAGCCTTACAGGCTGCAGAAGCAGCTTCAACAGCGTCTTCCCAGCTTAAAAGAATGAACGACAAATGGTATGCCACCGCCGGTGGCAACCGACAACAAACAAAGCCATTAACATTTGGCAACGATTTGACCGCAATTGAAAGCGCGATTGTGCGCATTAACACCCATCTACGCAATGTGTTGGCACTCCCGGACTCTAACACAACGAAGCAAGCTTCCGCTACATCTATCAAAGCTTCTCTTAGGCACGCAGAAATATGTCAGCGCCTCGCTCGATTGGTCGCGGACGACCACTGTGATCTCCCGGATGACCTGTAAACATCGGACGAAGTGTAGTTTGGCTTATTTAAAATATTGACTTGTGTTAAGATACCACAAAATGGATCCGCTGGCAGCAAGACTCATGTCCCGCAGCGGTCTGAGCGCCGCCGGCCGTCTTCCAGCGCACAGCACACCCATGGTCAAGGCCGGTATCGGGCTCAATCCGTCCAAACCACTGCTTCCCCCCGTGCACAACTTGCGCATGATTTACTTAAAGGAACCACTCACAGATGCTGAAAAGGATTTGCACGCGGCAAGTGTAGCACTTAAAGCATTGGAAACGACAAACAACGACGCCACCAGGAAAGCGCTGTACAGAGCAATGGCGAAACTACAAGGAAAAGAATCACACTACTTCGCGACTAGATACATCGGCAGAGACAAGCCACTTGTCCTACGTGGCTGGAAGACACACTACTTTTCGCAAAAAGTCAACGAGTTGTATCAGAAATCAGGGACTCGTTGGTCTTTTCTCCCTTCCGGTGCGCATCAAGACGCCATCGATGCCGCAGAAATGAATTTCATGGCCGCGGAGGACCTTCGGGATATGAACAGAGAAACCCTAAGGCCTAATCCACAGCCGAAAGCGTGGTTCAATGCGAAGAGAACAGATATTGAAAGGAAAATCGCTAGTATTGAAACAGTCAAACAAAACAAAACCACAACGGACGCCAATGACGTAGCATCTATGCAAGCTTCTCTTGACAACGCGAAAAACATACGAAGGCTTGCTAAGCTAGTGGACAATGTACGCGAAGTTCCGTACGATTTGCTGTAGTTTTTAATCCTTACTCAGCATCCAAAGGAAAACGGAAAACATTAGACGCCCTTCTCCCTACGCCATACGCACAACATGAAGAGCCCCATGGATGTCGACTTACCCGTGTCCACCGTACTCGGCTACATGCCCGACAACAAGTGCTTGGATGTGGCCACCGTTTCCAAGCTGTTCTCTGCCAAGTACGCAGCGAAAGGCACGCAGATCGACAAGGACACGTCTTTCAACAACATGGTAGAGTATTTCGAAAACGGGATGCCGGTATCAGAGCACGTGCTCTGCCGGGCGTCAGCGCTCGGCAGGCTTGACTTGTTTGAGCTTGCGGTCGAGCACGGGTGTGTCGTCAGTCACAAGGCCGTAGAAGTTGCCGCGCGGTGTGGTCATTTGCGCATTCTTGAATTTATTTGGTACATCGGCTCCCTATGCACGCAGTGCGCGTGCACCGGAGCGTCAAAGGGTGTGCAACTCGACGTTCTGAAGTGCTTGTTTCCGGGGGACAAGTGGTTACCGGATCAACTAGACACGAGTAGGTTATTGGTCAGGAACGCTGTCGTCGGGGGGTTTCTCCCAATTGTGAAGTGGGCGCACGAAAAAGGGCAAGAGTTAGACTCGACGCTTCTCGGCACCGCGGCCGTACACGGTCACTTTGAGCTTGTCAAGTACACCCACTTCAAAGGTTTGCGCGAATACTCCATTGCCGCGATACTGCACGCGGCTCTGCGCGGAGATCTACAAACTGTGAAGTGGCTCAGAGAGAAAGGCTACCCGTGGTCGGACGGCATCTGTACTCTTTTGGCCAGGCGGGGGCATCTACAAGCGCTCAAATACGTGCGTAGTCACGGGTGCCCTTGGGGAATGTTAAAACTTAGTAGCGTCGGACCCGTCATCGACGAGCACGTGCGCACGTACCTGGTAGATGCGGAGTGCCCTCTGTGATGAAAAATTATATTTGCAACATACATACATGAAAATCATGGAGCAAGAGAGATTGGTGGTCAAGAAGATCAGCGTTTCCATTTTTCCGCCAAGAATTAAGTTGACATTGGAGACTAAAATAATAAACGACATGAATCAATAACAAGCTTGGTTCATCATGATTAAAAAACTTTGGTTCGGAATCAGGCGCACACCATCACAGAAGTACTCCATGCCTGAGAGCGAGGGAGGGAGAGAGGGAAGGATTGACCAGGGGCGGCGAGCGAAGGGAAAGGGTGCAAATGAACAATATTTACCAAAAACTTTTTATGTATGGTGCTCACCATTTTGCGACACACCATTATCATCGTGCCATCTACCACCAGCGACACACTCTACTGCGCCGCATCGAGTGGTTCGGTCGAACGCACGCTTGATCTGCTTTCGGGTGGATTCACTGAAATCGACCGGCGGTGCGATGAACATGGGGTGACGGCTCTCATGTGTGCCGCCAACAAGGGGTATCTGCGTATCGTCAGGGTGCTTCTCCGATTCGGGGCCGACGTGTCGGTGAGTACTGACGATGGACACACCGCACTGCACTTCGCCATCGGTGGTCGAAACCTGGCCGTCACCAAAGCACTCATCAAGGCCGGTGCCGAAGTCGAAGCGAAGGCCGACTTGGTTCGCATGGAGTCCGAAGTAGTGCAAGGTCAGACACCCTTGCACCTGGCCGCCGGAGAAGGGTTCTGCGAAGGGATGGTGGCACTGATCAACGCCGGTGCGAACGTCGACAGCCGCATGAGCGACGGGTCAACGGCCATGTACATCGCCGCATGCCTCGGAAACTTGGAAGCGGTAGAGATTCTCTTTCAGAAAAAGGCAAACCCCCTACTACGCGTCGGCCCAACCCATCCTCTCGACATCGCCACGCACGGAGGACACCTGGGAGTTGTACAGGAGCTTGTGCAGCGCTTCGGAATAGATGGCTGTGCCGACGAAGGCGCCATAGGCGCTCTCGAGACCGCCGCATACGAGAATCACGAAGCTATTATGACGTTCTTGCTCGACGCCGGTGTCATAGACACAGACGGTACGGCCCTATGTGATGCCATCGAGGGTCGCAACGAGGCGTGTTTGAAGCTGTTGGTGAGCCGACGAGGGGGAAGTGAGCACATGGTGGAGCGCAATTACACAAACATCGACAACGCCCGCGAAAACCCCCTCCTCTGTGCCTTCGGTACGGGACGCGGACATGCTCCGAGGATAACGAGGTTCTTGCTTGACCACGGGGCCGATACCAAGAACAAAGTTCGATTCGGAATAGAGGGGTTGGGTGAAATGATAGATGAACCTCTGGTAGCCGCCAAGATCACTCTGCGGCACGAGCAGACCTACTTCAAAGACGCAGATGTTGACAGGGTGGACGGGTTAAAGGGAGTCGTCCGTCTCCTTCAACAGGAGGCTGCAGTTCACGCCAACTCCTGGGCGTGGCCGACCGACACCGATCGTGCCACGAAAATCGTTCGCAAGCCTATACGGCCCGGTTCAAGGCCCGAGGTGCTTTTGGCGGCAATGGGGAGGTGCGTGGAGTGGTGTCAGTAGGTTCAGGGTCAAGTAGGGAAAAGTATGAAAATAGCAACACCGACTTTTCTCCTCGTGTGTCGCCGCCAGGTACACCAACAAATAAGACGGCGCGTTTGGAGGATAACGCAAGGACGACGAGAAGGGATGATGTCAAGACACGGCTGCTTGTCTCTTACGATTGGTACATTGTGGAAAATTAAATATTGCCTTTAAAATTATTTAGTTGCAGCCATGTCTGTCACATGGACCAAGAGCGCCGACAACAAGTTTGACGCGCTTCTTCTACCATTCGATCTGTACACATCAGAGCCACATGAATCCAGCATGAAGCTCTCCGACGATACCGTCGTCACAGTGATCGGGTGAAACATCCGTCGGAGGAGAAACATATGAGAGCGGAAAGTCGTTGGTGATAGATGGTAAAAAGTGTTCAGTCTATGATACATAAGCAGTACCACGCGAGGAGGCACTTGGCAAATTCACTGCCTGCGAAGCAAGGCGTTCCCCTTGATAGCAACAATACTGTGCAGAAATCGAGGTTGAGTGGTACTCCATGTTGCGTCGTATATAGACAAAATGAAACATTTAAGTTTCCACGCCATCGTGGGTTGTCACTGGCACGAAGAAAAAACCTGGGTTGCTGAATATCAACAACGTCGGCTTTCTCACAATACCAGCCCGGAGAAAAGAAACTACACCTAGCAGACCAAGTCAAATCAGTTTAAAAATACCACCAGGTTCCCGAAGGGCTTGCTTCACAGTTTTGGAGAGAAGCGTAGTGGGCATGGCTGCGATACTGCCACGAACGATATAGACAGCACCTTTCTGCAGCTCAATACCGGGACCTATCGGGTACGACATCACCCCCTGGCGTTCAAACGAAGTCTTTCGCCGATGATCTTCGACACACAAAATCTGAAGGTTGTCGATACCATTGTGTCCTCCCAGGCTGACGGGAAGGATATGGTCAACATCACAGTTTTTGGAGTCTCCGCTCGTACGCAGTTCTGCGAAACACACTTTGCATGCATTGTTCTGAGCTTCAAGAATAGTCCGAACTGTTCTAGAAGAAGGCGTTGCTCTCTTGAAACCACCAATGTTGGAAATCGGACCGATCCATGCCACAGGATACCAGATGCCGGCGAAGGTATCCCATATGGCGCGAAAGGCATGGTCCTCCAAAACTCCTACCGGTGGTCGATAATCCCCCTCGTGCCTTGGCCTACCAGCCACGGCGCGAGGGGGATGGTCTTCTGCCGGCACGCTTAACAGAGGTTGATGATTACCCGGCTCCATGAGCCCCCCGATCTCTCCAATGCACTCTCCGGTGATGGTATCGAAAGTGCCAATGGAGGATGGGCTGAATCGGATGAGCCGGGGGTGTTCAAGCAGCACTTGTTTAATAAGCCCAATGTCCGTCGCCTGGGGGTGTTCAAGCAGCACTTGTTTAATAAGCCCAATGTCCGTCGCCTTCTTCGCCTGTACATGAAGCCATGTGCTGCCTCCGCTTCGGAATAGACCCACATAGTACACTTCTATGAGTCTGCCGAGTCGGGTGTAGAAATCTTTCACACACAGGTGATCGTTGGGTCTGATTCCTACTCGGATTTTTTTATAGTGAAACCAACGCCGCCGAGCCACACGAACTGGAGGCATGATGAAGTGTGAACAACACATAGTTATGAAACCAAAGTGTTTAGTAAAGTATCAAGCAAACTAGCATTTGAAATGAGCTTTTATCTCTGTTGCATCATGTCGAGCAGCAGAAGTGGGCAAGGTCGACAAGCTGCGTCGTGCTTTACAGTCAGACATTCACTCATCACGAGACAAATGAAGAAATGGAGAGTCGATAGAAGTGATGTCGGCGACATCGTTGACACCAACGATATCAACAACAATAACATGAACGACATCGCTGACACCAACGACATCAACGACATTGGTCTTTGCTTTCCAAGGGGGTGTTTGCATTGGCTAGGTTAGTACACACACGTCCCTTTTACCACCTGGAAGAGATACGGGAGGGGAAAAGCGCGACAGAGGTCGGCCATAAAAAAACTAGGTCCTCAGATTCCGGATCGGGCCTGTTCGTTTTCGTTTTGGAATTTTCCAATTTTAGAAAAAAAAGAACCATCGTGGCATGGTAGCCCAAGCGAGGCAGCAACCAGTGCGTCACATCCCCCCGTGTGTCAATAAACCGACTGCAGATTGACAGCTGGCCAATATTGGCCACGCCTCTCTATTGCATCACGTCGCACAGCAGGAGTGGGGTAGGTCGACAAGCTGTGACGTGCCTTACAGCCAGACATTCCTCCATCCTGAGACAATTGAAGAAATGGAGGAACGATAGAAGTGATGTCGGCGACACCGTTGTCATCGTTGTCATCAACGATATCAACAACAATAACATCAACGACATCGTTGTCATCAACGATATCAACAACAATAACATGAACGACATCGCTGACACCAACGACATCAACGACATTGGTCTTTGCTTTCCAAGGGGGTGTTTGCATTGGCTAGGTTAGTACACACACGTCCCTTTTACCACCTGGAAGAGATACGGGAGGGGAAAAGCGCGACAGAGGTCGGCCATAAAAAAACTAGGTCCTCAGATTCCGGATCGGGCCTGTTCGTTTTCGTTTTGGAATTTTCCAATTTTAGAAAAAAAAGAACCATCGTGGCATGGTAGCCCAAGCGAGGCAGCAACCAGTGCGTCACATCCACCCGTGTGTCGATAAACCGACTGTAGATTGACAGCTGGCCAATATTGGCCACGCCTATCTATTGCATCACGTCGCACAGCAGGAGTGGGGTAGGTCGACAAGCTGCGACGTGCCTTGCAGCCAGACATTCCTCCATCCTGAGACAACTGAAGAAATGGAGGAACGATAGAAGTGATGTCGGCGACACCGTTGTCATCGTTGTCATCAACGATATCAACAACAATAACATCAACGACATCGTTGTCATCAACGACATCAGCAACAATAACATCAACGACATCGTTGACACCAACGACATCAACGACATTGGTCTTTGCTTTCCAAGGGGGGTGTTTGCATTGGCTAGGTTAGTACACGCACGTCCCTTTTACCACCTGGAAGAGATACGGGAGGGGAAAAGCGCGACAGAGGTCGGCCATAAAAAAACTAGGTCCTCAGATTCCGGATCGGGCCTGTTCGTTTTCGTTTTGGAATTTTCCAATTTTAGAAAAAAAAGAACCATCGTGGCATGGTAGCCCAAGCGAGGCAGCAACCAGTGCGTCACATCCCCCCTCGTGTGCCAATAAACCGACTGCAGATTGACAGCTGGCCAATATTGGCCACGCCTCTCCGTTGCATCACGTCGCACAGCAGGAGTGGGGTAGGTCGACAAGCTGTGACGTGCCTTGCAGCCAGACATTCCTTCATCCTGAGACAAACGAAGAAATGGAGGAACGATAGAAGTGATGTCGGCGACACCGTTGTCATCGTTGTCATCAACGATATCAACAACAATAACATCAACGACATCGTTGTCATCAACGATATCAACAACAATAACATCAACGACATCGTTGACACCAACGATATCAACAACAATAACATGAACGACATCGTTGACACCAACGACATCAACGACACTGGTCTTTGCTTTCCAAGGGGGTGTTTGCATTGGCTAGGTTAGTACACACACGTCCCTTTTACCACCTGGAAGAGATACGGGAGGGGGAAAGCGCGACAGAGGTCGGTCATAAAAAAACTAGGTCCTCAGATTCCGGATCGGGCCTGTTCGTTTTCGTTTTGGAATTTTCCAATTCTCGAGAAAAAAGAACCATCGTGGCATGGTAGCCCAAGCGCGGCAGCAACCAGTGCGTCACATCACCCCCCCGTGTGTCAGTAAACCGACTGTAGATTGACAGCTGGCCAATATTGGCCACGCCTCTCTGTTGCATCACGTCGCACAGCAGGAGTGGGGTAGGTCGACAAGCTGTGACGTGCCTTACAGCCAGACATTCCTCCATCCTGAGACAATTGAAGAAATGGAGGAACGATAGAAGTGATGTCGGCGACACCGTTGTCATCGTTGTCATCAACGATATCAACAACAATAACATCAACGACATCGTTGTCATCAACGATATCAACAACAATAACATGAACGACATCGTTGACACCAACGATATCAACAACAATAACATGAACGACATCGTTGACACCAACGACATCAACGACACTGGTCTTTGCTTTCCAAGGGGGTGTTTGCATTGGCTAGGTTAGTACACACACGTCCCTTTTACCACCTGGAAGAGATACGGGAGGGGAAAAGCGCGACAGAGGTCGGCCATAAAAAAACTAGGTCCTCAGATTCCGGATCGGGCCTGTTCGTTTTCGTTTTGGAATTTTCCAATTTTCGAGAAAAAATAACCATCGTGGCATGGTAGCCCAAGAGCGGCAGCAACCAGTGCGTCACATCCCCCCTCGTGTGTCAGTAAACCGACTGCAGAATGACAGCTGGCCAATATTGGCCACGCCTCTCTGTTGCATCACGGTGAACAGCGGAAGTGGGTTAGGTCCGCAAGTTGCGTCGTGTCTTTTAGACAGACACTTACCAATCAAGTGATAAAGATAGACGTCCGCGAATGACGATCGGATGACATCGAATGCCTGTCGCCAACGTCGACGATGTCGTTGATGTCATTGTTGTTGATGTCGTTGATGACAACGATGTCGCCGATATTCCTCCATTTCTTCCATTGTCTCAGGATGGAGGAATGTCTGGCTGTAAGGCACGTCGGAGCTTGTCGACCTACCCCACTCCTGCTGTGCGACGTGATGCAACAGAGAGGCATGGCCAATAATGGCCAGCTGTCAATCTACAGTCGGTTTACTGACACACGAGGGGGGATGTGACGGACTGGTTGCTGCCTCTCTTGGGCTACCATGCCACGATGGTTCTTTTTTCTCGAAAATTGGAAAATTCCAAAACGAAAACGAACAGGCCCGATCCGGAATCTGAGGACCTAGTTTTTT